CCAAGGTAAGCACCATGTTCATAAACGAGATGGAGAGGGAGAAGGTACTAGTCAATGTAAATACATGAACGTGAAGCTCATTGAAGGTGAGAGCTTTGTCTTTGAGGGAGACATAGGCAGGAAGCAGTAGACACTTCGGTAAATGTCTCATTTGGCTGGTTGATACACCAAAATGTCTTCCATTTAAAACCCTTAATTTGCCTTGATGCTTGAGTTTCACAGAGTGCCTCTTTCTCCTTCCCTTAATCTTCTCTTCCACTGACTATCCACAGTGTAGGAAGATTCCTATTCCCAAGGGTGAGGTGACATCCCACCCCATGTACCTGCTGTCATCCATCTCTCTATCTGAAGGGCTTCGGTTGGGGCTGGGTGGAGCTGGAAATGGAGACATGTCAGACACCTAGGGGATTTTTGATTCTGCCCTGTGCTTTTCTGGTGTTCCATCGCAGCTTATGAGCTAAATCCAATTTCACTTTGTTGACACCCGACTTTCCAAACTTTGATTCATGCTACACAGGTTTAAGAGGGTATGTATGAGTTTTCGCTCCCTCATCTTCTCCACCCAGTAGGAAATCCAGAATTGAATTCTGCATCCACAAATCAACCTGAATGCTCCCTTTGTCATTTAGTGGTGGTTTTATTTAGGTGTTTAATAACCTCAAGTTATCTATGGGGTAGGGAAGCCAAGGCAAAAGTTACGGTTCTAAAGATGCCTGTAAGTCAACATCTTTTTGTTTTTTATTTTGTTTCTTTGAGACAGGATCTCATTATCTAGCTCAGGATGGCCTCAGTGTTTGCAATTCTCCTGTCTCAGCTTTGTAAGTGTTGGGATTACAGGTAGGAACCACTAAACCCAGCTTATATAGAAAGATTAGCCAAGGTGACTTTTATGTGTTTTATTTTAATGCCAGCTTACTTGATTACAGAAATAGAGAGGATATGTGGTGCTTTTTGTTTGGCCCTACATTGCATTTACCAATAATTTTTTATCTACTTAATGGATGCAAATTCTTGAGCCAAAATGTACATAGATAATAAAATATTTTTTACTAAGTAAGATAAGTGTTGCATCATGAAGGAAATGAATCGTTGAGAGGTATTTCCCTCTATATCTGTAGAATATAACTGTGCCTGGATTATCTGCCCAGGCAATTGCTTCAAATACACACTGACCACCTATCAGCATTTGTAAACACATGACCAGTCTGCAAGTAAGAAGCTTTCCACCTTTTCTGTCCTATCATTAGAGGAAAGACGTGTTCTTTGTCCTTGAAACTGAAGTGTGACTTCGTGTCACGTGATAGCTATGCTGTCATCAGCAGTGGTGGGAGAACAACATTGAAAGAAGGGAGAAACACAAGCAGTGACTCCAAAAGTCCTATCATATGGATAGACACTAACTTGTTTGTTGCACAGAATTGCTGTGCTCAGGGAGAGCTGTTGCTGGGCAGGAAGGACATTGTTTATGGGCTGGTTGGATGGAGTGGCATAGTAGTTTGTGGTAGGTACTACCTATCTGGGAAAGTTTACCCAGAATAAGCAACATCTTGGGTGTAGAGTCAGTGGGAGGGAGTGTGCATATCTGTGGGTAAACTCGGATTCTGATCCTCCTGAAGAGCCAGGCACCTCGCTATTTTCAGGCAGGGTCACTCATGGTCTGGGACTGACTGCTTAGGTTAAGCTGGCTCACCAGCAAGTGTCAGACATTCAGCCCCCACTGCACTTCTTCAGTGCTGAGACTAGATGCCTGTGTTTTGTTTTAAAATATGGATTCTTAGGCTCAAAAACCCAATTCCCTGTGCTTTGACAGCAAGCACTTTCCTTACTGAGCCCTAGAACCATTTTTGAACTATGTTGTCTACCCTAAAATCAAAGTGACTTATACTGAGGATTCTTCTAAATGTCACGTTTATTCAAGCAGTCTTTTTTTCTGCTGGAAACTTGTGGATTCTGTACTTAGTAGCATCTGTGGATCAGCTCAGCATCCCTTAGGACCACAGTAGAGATGATCTTTCTAGGGCTCATGACAAACTCTATCACTTGTGCTGTTTGTTTATTTGTAGTTCTGGGCAGCGATGGGAAGTGGACAGTGAAGAAGAGGGGCCATGCTCCCCTAGAAGTAAGGAGGCAGTTAGGTACCAAAGAATGACCAAGGTTGGGGTGGAATTCAGTTACGTACTCTTCCAAATCAAAGAGCAGGGCAGATGGAGAGCCCTACCCTAATGGAGCTGGCTTTCTAGCACCAAACAAGAGTGCTTCCTTCTGTCTTCATACAATCCAAGCTACTTGATTAGGACGTGGGAGGCCCAGAGCTTCTGTCTTCAGAAAGAAGTTTTATGTATGTGGGTGCATACAAAGGAAAGATGAAAATAAAGAAAAGAAGCAATGAAAGAAAGGAGAAGATGAATATAAAAATGGAAGAAAGTGAGGGGGAAGGAAAGAGGAATAGTGGGAGGGAGGAAGAGAGGAGAAGGAGGCAGGAGTTAGGGGAGAATGAGAGGATGGGGGTGTCCAAGCACTATCCCCACCACCACCCTTCTTTCTTTCTTCATTTTCGTCACATTCCCTAATGAGCTTTGCTCAGAACAGCCCAGAGCCTCATCTCAGTATCTCCAGGTGGCAGTTATCCCACCCGAGAAAAGCAGAGGGTCTCAGAATAGAGACCTGGCTCTGCACACTGACCACGCTTGCTGTCTTCATTCCAGTGTTGAGCTTCCGCTTCACGTGGCATTTCGTCTCCACAGCTGAACCCTCAAGCAGGCTCATCACCTGAGGGAGAGCTGGCCTCGCTCCTGTGGCTCCATAGCAGGAATTGGGGGGGGGGGGCAGGGAGATAAATCGGTCAGTATTATTACTGAGTGCCCACACACAACAAGTCAGCTGCTCAACCAGACTTAACATTTCTCATTTTCCTTATTTTCAAAATGCAAAACATTCTATGAAAAATTTTGTTTAAATAATGGTGAAATGGTGTCAGGGATGGAAGCATTCCCAAGCATCTCCCCGTCCTGAAGCGAGCATCTCTTGTGTTTCATAGCCCTAGGCTTGAATGAGCTCAGCATTTCCTGCTTCCTCCATTTCTGCCATATTGGTTGAAACTTGAGTGCTGGGGACTAGCATGAGAGTTTCATAAGCTTGCACAATTTGTTGATAATCAAAATCATAAAAACAGTCCAACATAAAACCTCAGGCAGAAAAAGGAAGATAAAGTCCATCTGGCTTTGTTCTGCAATCTTAGCATTTTACTCATGCTGCAAAGAAAAGTGCCATAAAAGCCCCTGTTCAAGGATGTGGACCAAATTCCAGACCATCACTGACAGCTGATCTTCGCTTCAAGGGAATAATCCCTGCTAAGAATGCATGCAGAACCATGGAAGGCCCTGGCTCACCCACCTCATAGGCACAAGCCCACTCTTGTACCTAGAGAGAAGGCTTTGCTCTAAGGCCTCCAGACTCACAGTGGCACCTCCTAGAGAGCAGGTACTTCCTGGGGGTTCCTGCACACCTTTCCAATGTACTTTATCATTTTCTTTTTGTGCTGTTCCCACAACACTCACCCAGGTGCACACCTCAGCACGTGTGGGAAAGACTCTTGGATGTAAGATAACTGGGGCGGAAGTCTTCTGTCTGAAAGTGATGGTTGGAAGGGGCTGGGTCCCTCCTGGCAGTGTGGATACCAGGTGGAGAATATCTTTAGTGTGGAATAAATGAGTGTGCTCTCACTTGGTCAGAAGCCCTGCAGAAGCCTGGGAAAGAAGAATTGGGTGTGTGGGGCTGTTACAGACTTCCTATTGTGCCTCTCGTTTCTGCTCCCTGGGTCCCTACTGTAGCTTTTACAAACAGTTGTTTTTCATATACGTTTTCCAGGAATTCAGTCTCTGTATGGGATAAGGTTTGGGGTACAGTGCTTTTTAAGTGTGCTGGGGAGTCAGCATAGGTAGCACTGTGAGGCTTAGCAAGAGACTGGGAAGCTAGAGGCAGATTCTTTTCCTAATGGCTGTTTGGACCTTCCTGAAGAGTTCCCATCAGCATGTATGGGTGGAATGGCCACCGAGAGGAGTTTAAGACTTGAGGGGTTGCCATTCATAGTTCCTCTCCCAAGTCTTCATCACGCCTGATATTGTGTCCCTAGACAAGAGAACCCAGGTACCCACTTCTTCCCCACAGGTAGTTGTCAGATTCCTATGTGCAGATACAGGCATATGTGCACTGATGCTTAGGGGCTTATGCCATGCTGGTAAACCATTGAGGACATAAGCAGTTTTCACACTCACAGCACACATCTGCAAGAATGCCTCAAACAAAACTTCCTGGCAAAGACAGAGATGCTGCTCAAGGGAGGAGTACTAGGCTAGCAAGAATGTCTAAAGCCTTACGTTCTAACCTAACAATTTCCCCCACAAAAAGTTAAATTTGTGACAAGCCAGGTATGAATATAAAAGGAGTGTAGAATATGAATAAATACAGGGGGGAAATTATGAGAAAAAATAATTAACTCTTAATTCAATGCAGTTTGGCCTCCGAGACAACTGCCAGCATATGGAAAAATGTGTGTGTATGTGTAGATATACAAATATATGAATATTTGCATACACACAAATAAGAACATATGCACACACATGCATATGTATGTATGTGTATGTATGTGTATATATATATATATATATATATATATATATATATATATATCCAGGATAAGAGGATACATTCAAAATCATGTCTATACAAGCACGTTTTCCAAAGAGCTGTGAGGTTTCTCCTGTCCTTAGAAATTCTCTATAAGTGTCTGTCATTTCCTATATCCTCATGGTCAGAAACCGCTGTCATACCCAAGCCACACTCACCACGTTTGTTTCCAGTCTTGCTGCTCTGCTGTTTGCCCTTTGAATCTTACTGAGAAAGGGTAGACCCGGCACAAACAGGGTTGGGAAAACGGTCCTCACCAGACTACACGTGCATCTCACGGTATCCTGCTTTCCCTTCTCTCCTCTCTCCCATAGTGCCTGGCTTTCCATATCCAGCCGCCACTGCTGCAGCTGCATACCGAGGGGCCCACCTGAGGGGCCGCGGCCGCACCGTGTACAACACCTTCAGGGCTGCAGCGCCCCCACCCCCAATCCCGGCCTATGGCGGGTAAGTGCCGCACCCTCCTGGGAGGGGGGGCCTCCCTGCACCTGCTCTCTCTCCCCAGAGGCACGGAGTGTTTGCGAGTGCATGATGGTCTTGACCACCCCCAGAACCTCCCCAGCATGCAGCCTACCATGCGCCTGCTGCAGAGCACCTTGCAAAGAGTGTTGAAAACTGAGTGTAATTTGTCTGGTCGTGGTTGGTGCCTTTACGCGTTCTACGTGTCACATGTTGTTATGTAAATTCTCTTTGAGACCGAATGCTGGAGAACAGAGAAAGGGTTACAGCCAGAGATGTGTTTCTGATGACTGCAAGCATCCGGTTATTAAGGAGGTTGGACTACATTTACCCCTTGAATTCAAAGGGACATGAGGTTTCCCATACATAAAAATCACTGGGGTGATCTTGCTCCCCTCCCCGTACACACTTTGCACTCCCAGGCAGATGAACTTTTGCCTGAGAAGATTAGGTGTTGAGTCAAACCCAACACTCCAGACAGGAATGAAATTATGGTTAATTGGCCTTTTACTTACATTTTCCAAAATAGCCCAGCCTGGTCTTTCTCCTTCACAGGGAAACTGAGAATGGATTTGTTTCTTACTGCCAACTGAGGCCTTCTGTGATTGGATGTTGTTACTGACGACTAAAGATGTAGGAATGGTTGGGAAGAGAGGAAGGGAAGAAGGAGGGAAGGGGGATGGTGGGAGGGAAAGAAAGATTGACTAACATAGACCACCCAGAAATGGCACTTCCTCTATTCTCCATTAGGGATCTTGGAAGAGCATTCCTCCACCTCTGGGCATGAAGAGAGAGGGGTGCCTCTGAGGCGGCAGCAGGTCTAGGATATTTTTGATTGGTCCAACAGAGTAGACGCAGGTGATGGTATCTAGTGGATAGACTCCAGACATGTTCTTAAACATACCATGGTCCTTAGGTTATCCCTACTCTCAGGGCAAAGCATTGCCTGGCTCACAGTCTGTATTGTGCTCCACTTACTTCTCCAGATGCATAGATGATTCGGTTATACTAAGGAGAATCTGGTATGAGCTTCTGCCGGCCAAGGACTAGCTTTCTCATTTACAGAAAGAATATGTCTATGCTCATGATCATATATACAGGGTTAAATGCATTTTCTTAAAAGCTTTGCGGCATCCTTTAGGAAGCCTGAATTACCCCAGCTCCCTCGCTGTACAGATGACAAAGGAAATACTCTTGTTATTTATTCATATCCCGCCCACTGCACAGAGCCCATATGAAGGGTGTGAAAAGCCAAAGAGCATGAAGCAGGCTGGAGACAATGCAAGAAGGAGGCCGGGAAGAATCATCAAAACAGGAGCAAAAGGCAAGAGGAGGAGGAAAATTAGCGCTAGTCAGTGCAGAGCTTCTTAGTGGGTCAAAATGACGAGAGAGGCTGGGGATGATAACAAAGTAAGAGCCAACCAGCTTTACTGTCTCCCCATGCCCCCAATGCATCCATCTATCATATAAAGGACCTTTGACTCTATAATCAGTACAATGCCCACCTAGCATGAGCCCATTTGATACATGGGTTCTGAAAAACATGGCGGTGCAGAAACAGCTAAACAACCATCTGGGTTCACATTAGTGCTAAAGAAAGATTCGTGTGCCATACCTGTAAAATGACACTTTATTCTGTCTGGAAATCTTCATCTTAGTACATGGTAATTGTAGCTTCTCTGTATATATACTGACCCCTAGACAGTATCTCATTACTATATTGAAAAGGAAAAATTAAGTAAAATGATATGGCCTATCCTCCCATAAACAGTTTGTAAAACCCCCAACATAACCCACCTGCTATAAAATTGGAATTTACTAACTTATAATGAATGTGCTCTTTGCCAGGGATAACCATGCATAACTAATTAATGCTATGTTTGCCAGGGAGAAGGAGGCACTTCCAAATGGCACACGACATGTTTATGACTCTTTTGGAAGGGACGAAAATGTAATATTCCAGGAGTCCTCTTAAGTGTCCTGGTTGCGTTGGTGACCTGTTCCCTTCTGCTTCCTTGATCGTGTCATTGGTCTATACAGAACACACAACAGAACACAAATAATGTCAAGTGCCGAGGAAAGAGTGTTCGTTTAGCTGAACTACACTCAGGGAATGACCTTATGGCCGAAATTCTGGAATTAGAAGTTAAAATAGAATTCTCAATGCCAGAAGCTGGACCAATAGCTCACTGACTTAGAGCAATTGCTTTGCCAACATTAAGACCTCTCTTTGAATCTAACACCATGTTAGAAAAAAAAAAAAAAAAAACTAGGCATGGCTAGGCATGCCTGTAATCCCAGCACTGGGAGGATGGAGATAGGAAGATCCTGGGAGCTCTCTAGTCAGCAAGACGAGCACAAAAGAAAAAGCTTTCCAGTTCAGTGAGCCCCTGTCTCAAGATAGTAAAGTAGAGATGGTAGGAAATGCCATAGGCCCTGCCTTGCCCTCCATAGAAACTCACAGGCACACTTGTGTGGAAGCACCATACACACACACACACACACACACACACACACACACACACAAATTATTAATTCGGTAATTAATTCATTATAAAAGATTCTCCACATGGAGGCTGAAGGCTGGTATCAAGTATCTGTAAGACACAAAGTACTGGTGAAAATGGAGATTTGGTTAGGTGCCTGGTTCCCCCTTTCCCCTCTGTATTCATTGGCTTAGATTACAAGGAAGGTGAGCCATCTTTTGAAGAAAACAACCTGGTACCAAGAACATGGATGTCCCAGAGGAAAGAGTTACCTGATTCTGAGTTGACCCAATGAGCAATGATGCTGTAGACCCAAGCCTGTTCCCATGGCCTGATCTACCAGATTGGAGGTGGTCTGGAAACTATGAATTCCCAGAGCTGCTGTCTCAAAAGTCCTTTGGAGGAAGATTTCTAGGCTTGACTGACATCTTTCCTCCATCCCCATTCAGCCACATTTTGTGCCCCATTGTCTGCTACCTGTAGCACATTCACAGGAATTTCTGCACGTGAGATCTGGGCCCCGATATACAAGCCAACTATTGCCATTGATGTGATAGATGGTAAGACAGAGGCCTGTTTACCAAGGAAGGGTCCTTAGCTCAGCATGGGTGTTCAAACAAGGCTTCCCAGAAGAGAAGACGTGTGTGACAAGATCATGTCCATTTGTTCCAAACTGCCATCGTAAGATCCTGTCCTGTGAGGACCCACACACCCAGCCATCTCCATCTTTTTTCTGCCATTGCCTCACAAAATATATTTACTAAGGAAGAATTTTTTTCTTATTGTCACCAAATGAAGTCGCATCTATCTACAACCTATATTTTATACAATATCCAATAGGAGTCTATGTTACTAAAATTTAAAGCCCTAAACATTTTCTTTATTCTAGGTCCACATGGGCTTACATACTTTTTCTCTCTAATAGAAAACACACACACATTCACTCACTCACTCACATACACACACACACATTCAGTCACACACACATATTCAGTCACACACACATATTCAGTCACACACACATACACATACACACCCTCACATTCTCACACTCACACATGTGACATATAACAAAAACTTCATAGCTACCTCTGTGGAGCCCAGGATAATCCTTGAAGGGATCCAATGCTGATATAAGCATCCAAGGAAACTCATTAAAGACATTCCTAGCTGGATCTGTTTTCTGCCCTCCCAGCAGTTAAACTGCATAGATTATGAAGAGGTCCTATTCTGTTTTCTGTGGTATACCTAAATAGAACAATCTGGAAATATCAACATGTGATCATCACTCCTGAAACAATACTGCTGCCCGTGGACAATAGAGGGATCAAAGAAATAAGCAGACAACACTAAACACAGCCAGCAACTCACTACCAGCTGCCAATAGTAAATGAATCAGACCCTGGAGAGTGAATATCGGATTTTACCACCCTGGAAAGCTACAAGAAACACAGTGCACTTGATAGGAGAGTAAAGCACGCACCAGCTCCATAGGGTTGACGAAGGATGAAATAGGAAGAGTCCCACAAGGTTACGGCTCAGTAAGACCAATGCTAGGACATGTTGGCTGGACTGCAGCTAATCTTGTCGAGGTTGATATGACTATTGACGTTTTTGTAAGTCGCCCATGCTCCCCTCACTCAGTGCTCCCCCATTCCCTTTTAGGCGATGCAGGGTTAATCTTGTGTCTCTTCCTTTGTGGATAGTTCACCTCTTTAGTAGGGAGCCCCTGCAGTTCACAAACCTCATATTACCCCCACAAAGCACAGGCAAAGTCTTAGGGAGAGGCACACCAAAAGTTTGTGGATTCCATGTACTAAGCATAGTACCTCATTTAGTGGACTTTCTCAGAGTTCATTGTATGAGGCTTTTCCTATTTCTACCTGTCTTTACTGACATTTTGTTGGAGAAACCACAATGTTCTATCATCCAATGAGTCATATTCATGAGAAATTCTCCATTATGAAGTTGCCATTTAAAGTAGCTTGCAGGCTAGCAATATAGGTGGAATTGGATACACACTCACTAGACTGAGCACAACATCTCATAAAGGACACAGCGGTTAACCCCATTGCTTGAGGAGCAGCAGCATAGGCGTTGGTTTACAACACACTAAGTAATTATTAAGTAGATGTTTATCAAGTGTGTACTATGTATGTTGCATGGTGATATAATATATTGTCCTTAGGAAGCATTCCAGGAAATGTAAACTCGCTAAACTTCCAGCACTGGCTATGGGGCTTTAGTCTTTGTTCTATGGTCTTTATAACATGTGTTATTGTTGTTGTTGTTGTTGCTACTACAAAAGGTCACACAAAAGCATCTTAAGGAAGCAAGGAATGCTTTATCATGGCGCACACAGGATACAGTCCACCACAGCAGGGAAGGCAAGACAGCAGGAGCGTGAGGCCGTGGCACATGCTGCAACCTCAGTCAGGAAGCAGAGAGGATGAATGCTTGCTCATGTTCCCTTGGCTTTTTCCCCTTCTGTTCATTCTAAGA